GCAGCTTGTTCTCCAACCGAAGCGTCTCGTGCAAAAACATGATTGCCAGCTCGTTGTGCAAATTCTTGGTCAACCTTGTGTTGTGCAGAAATATTTTCACTATTTTTTGAGTACGCAATGTCATGCGTCTTTATTGTGTTTGGGAAATATTCCATGCGAAACAATTAATTGAAACTTAGAAACAAATATTCCAGGAGGTCGAGCGGTCATCGACTCGACATCCATGGTAAGTGATGAATCAGGTGGAAGTGTTCGAAGGTGCATTTGATTGCGAAATGAAGCATCAGCACTTGACCACGTCCACCATGACATTGACCCTCGAAAACCCACCGAGGATAGACAACGATATCTTCAGTTTCGGCCTAGCATCGATCTTGACCACACCAAAGGTCGGACTCCTCGTGTTGCGCGGTACCTGATTCTGGAATCAGCTTAACTTAGCTCTGCCTGGCTGTTATCGTGTGACTCAAGCACTGGGATTTGTGATGTAAGATCTTATCCCTCATAAAGACAATAGATTCAACATTCGTCAGAAACTCGGTTGGCGGGGTGCAAAATTACCCGTTACTTTCGTTTCTCGGGAGTGTTAGATTTGAACTCATAAACTTTTAATTAATATATACTGTAACGTAGTATTTTGAAGTTCGACCGTTCGTCGGTATTGAGACGTCCAGACGGGAAGTCAAACTGTTAGCGAGGCAAGAGTCTGAATCTGTTTTATTTTATGATTCTATTTTATTTTTTTTTATTACTTGTTTGAAATGTATCGAGTCACAATTCACCGCTCAGTCTGCGATATTTTACTGGAATCATCGTGGGAAATGCTGAACTCTTCTGAGTTGCTTTTCATTTTTTTTTTGGAAGAATCGACAGGACGAAAGGGAAATTTGGATTTCGCGCAATCCCCAGAGTTTACCCAGAGAGAATGTGTGGTGGCGCCAGTGTCGGGAGCATGGATTTATTGGCTCCCAAATCAGCAATTAGGCGGATTACAATCAACAAATAGATGGGCTCAATTAACCTGAAGGGGTGTGGACCGAGAACCGAAAAATATACATAATATTTTATCGAATTAGGAGTCCAGAGATTTACTCCTGTTTGTCAGCCAGACTCCTTCTTTAAATTAAACTGTTAATTTGATTAGCTACGTAAGTCGTTAGCCAATCGGAATATTCTCGTGTCGGTGACGAGCCAATCACAGTAATTGTCGGCTTCGTCACCTGTAGAGCGTTGTCGTTCCGCCATTACTTGGCACTTCTCGTTTGGACGCTGGACATAGCACATTAAAACTTTTGCTCTTTCGAATTCTTGGCTTGAGGAGATTTGTAAATTGAAGGAAGAGACTACGGAGGATCATTATCGAATCTAAGAGGTTTCCTGTTGCCTGAGGCCCCGATAAATACGGTGAGCGGTGGATATCATAAAGAGATTGTTGTATGTAAATGCATTTATTTTGTTAATGATTAATTTTTTTTTTGTTCGATTGATGAACAGTTTGTTTGCGGCACGAGACGCCATCATAGTATTAGATTTTCCAATTGGTTACGACTCGTTCGGTAGAGTCATTACAATTTATTTAGTTCTCTCCGATTCCATAAATTAACCATTTGGAAAGGTTACGGAATCTTTCTCGGATTTCTCTTTCCTAAGTATAGTGGTTCTAGCCAAGTAATTTAATGACTCTTGTCTCCTCTAAAAATTTTCAGTATCTAATGTCTCTCTTGATTATTATTTTGGGAACTTTTTGTCGCCTTATTATTGATTTTTCTCATTTGGCGAAATCTTAGACTGTCGAGGTCAGTGTTGTTGTCGTTTAAATTCAATGTTATCGTGGCCTGTGAAGCCACAACTGTTTGGAAACAATTTTATTTGAGAAATTCAATTTTGTAGCATTGAGGGTGGAATTGTAGCGTTTAACGACGCTTGGCATTTGTAATTTTGCCGTTAACCCTTTTGGTTAATTTCGTCGTTTTGTTGTCGTACTTTAACGCAATTCCCCTCCAAATCGCTTTTCTCTCCTGTTTGTTAAATTAGTGGACACGTTGTTTCTAGTAAATCACATAAATTCCAGTTTTCTCTATGATCTGACTTATTTTTTCAATTAGTTGTTTTATCGATTGATTCGTGATTTCTTCGTAACTTTGACTTATTTATTAATTTTTTTTGTCTTACCGACTAGTAATTTTTGTTATGATTTTTATTTCTTTTATTTTATTGACTTGAGATAAGGAATTTGTCCGGTGTAAATTATTTGGTTGTCTTGTAAATTAATTTATTCATTTGTGAACAGAAACAGCGCGATCTTATAAGTTAAGAGTAAATCAGGATTTTTAACATCATTTATTTTGTTCAGACAATTTATTCTTTTTATGATATTAAAAGATTTATTTGTGCCCCCGCAACTATCGAATCACTTTGATTTGGAATAACCCAGCCATTTCAGAATCTTAGGGCAGTATTCGGAACCGAGCCGCCTCCGCGGTTGTTATACTGGCTAGTTGGTAACTGTCCTTATCGTTAATTGGAAAATTTCGATTTTTGGCCGTTTTGATAAAAACGTCCTGGCGCCTAACTTTTATTGTATAGGATTTGGTCGCCGAGGGCTGCGTATATTTTTCCCTTCTTCCGCGGAGGGCAAAATTACGTCACAATAGATAAAACAATCTCGCATTTGCAACCAAAAGGAAGTGCAAGCTGACTCAAGGACTCTTGGGAGGAAATTGGAGAGCAAAAGGAGAAAAATTAAGTGAGTAGTTAATTTTTAGGACAGTCTGGTATGGAATTGTTCTCTCCCTTTTTATAACTTCTAATAGCCAGATAACTGATAGCCAGATAAATGCAATTCAGCAGGGAGATTATTGATAAATTTGTTTGATAATCGTTTGCCGTTTCTTATACGTGATCTGTGTTTCATAGTTCATAAGTTCAATCATAGTTCAAGTGGAACCGAGTGATTTCACTATAAAATCTCTAATTTATAGTTATGTAGATCAATCACTAGGAAGATGGAGGTCAATTGACATGACAACGGCATGCCCGTAATTAATTCTGATTTAATTACGGCGGAAGATACCATTAAATCTAATCGCCATGGAATAGTGCTGCCAAACACTATCCGAGCAGTTTTTTGTAGACCATCGAATTGTGGGAAAACTAATGCTCTTCTGCGTGTTATAATTTAGCCCAATGGCTTAAGATTTTCAAATATTTATGTATATTCAAAGTCCCTTAACTAAGCTAAATAACAATTTTTGGAAAATTTACTGAAATTGCATGACGATTTTAACTATTATCCCTTCGCTGCTAACCAAGAGGTATCCGTTGATGATCGGAAACAAAAGTCACTATTCGACGATGTTGCATGTAAACAGCAAAATAATATCAAAACATATTTTTGTATGGGGAGACCTAAATATGTGGACAGTTTTTATTTGTGTCAATCGTATGCACGGATTCCGAACCATTTAGTCCCTGATAATGTCATTTTTTTGGGATTTTTCAAGCAGGATGAAATGAATTTGAAATACATTTAAACGGATCATGTGAATAAAGAAATGTCATTTGATAAGTTTAAAGACTTATGGTCAACATGTTAGAGGGTTAATGATCCACTTTTGGTGATCGATATGGACAGTGACATTGATTCATGTCGATATAGGAGAAATTTCGATGGCTTCATTCAGATAAATAATAGTCATTCATAAATATTATGAGTAGTTATGGGTACATTCTCGGGGGTTGAGCCACCAACCGAGCGCGTCTCCAGGTGGTGGATAGGAGGACGGTCGGGCGGAATAACCACCTCGGCGGAGGCCGGGACAGAGATGCCTCGAACTCTGCTTGGGGCTGCCTAAAAACCAGGTTAATGGAGAACATAATGCCCAACGAAACGTGGGAAACGACAAGGGAAGCCGAGAAACCCCATCGCGAACCAGCTGCCACAAGCTACGGTGTATGATACCGTGCCAGTGGCTGCATGGTGCAGGAGAAGTTGCATCGCAAACGGTTTCCTCGGATACCAGGCGACCTCCGAGCGTAAGTAGCCAAACCCCAGGCATACACGGCTCTGCCTGGGTGATACCGCATCACCGTGGTACTCATGGGACTTATATGAATGCTAGGAAACAAAAAGAAATAGACAAACCACCTGGGACGGAAGAACCCCAGGGCCAGAATACTGGACCTGGTGGAGAACAGCCCAGGATGAAAAAACTAAGTGGCGCGGCAAGGCGTCAGTTCCAGAAGGAGAGCAGGGCTAACCTGCCCTCAAGCACTCCTTTTGGGACAAACAAGGGTGATGATAAGGGCGAGGGAATGTCAAGGGGAGCAGCCACGAAACGGCTAAAACCCGATGGCACCCCAAGCCCATAAAACACGCGACCGGAGAAAAGGCCCAAGACTGATCTTGGCACCTACGCTCAGGTCGCAATGACAATGATCAGGTGGGCTCTCGTCCCAGAGAACTACCCAAATCGAAAAATCACACCTGAAGGAATTAAGGACTTGAAGGGACTGCTTAGGTCCCAGATCCTCTCCCTACCAGAGGGTACTAAGGCACCGACTTTTGAAGGTGTGTGGGAGAGGAACGGAGCAGCCATTGTTGGCTGTACCGATGAAGAAACGGGGAACTGGCTGAAAGGACTGTTCCCCGAAAACAAAATTGGGGACCTCGTCTTCATGCTGATGTCACCGGAGGAGCTACCGAAGCGACACCGGGTGGTAGTTCACCTTGGGGACGAGGAAGTCACCGCCCATGAGGCAATCGTGCTCATGGGACGACAGAACCCCGACCTTAAGGGTGACTGGGTTCTGATTAGAGACAGCGAAACGAGGGGAGTTACGGGCGCCCACTTTGCTGCCCTTATCAGGGATCAAACCCTGCTGGCTCTAGAGGCTTGCAATTTTAAACCTCATTGTCGGACTCAAAGAGCAACTGTCAAGTTGCTCGAGAAGAACCGACATGAGGAAAAGGTCAAGCCCGTCGACGGGTGAGCCTAAAAATGGCTCATAAGTCAGTGGAAATAGTCCAGATTAATCTCCACAACAGTAAAAGCGCCTCAGCAGTTCTCTGCGAGACGCTAGCTGGGGTGCAGACAGCCATAGCCCTAATTCAAGAACCGTGGTTCGTGAACGGAGTGGTAACGGGCCTGGGGGGGTGTGGACGGATTTTTCACTCGAACTTCCAAGGAAAGAAGATTAGGACCTGTGTGTTAGTAAAAGGCGCACAGGCGACCTTCGTACACCAACAAAGCGGAGAGGACATCACGGCTGTGAAGCTCAAGGTTCTCACTGAAAAAAACGAGGCCCCGGAATTCATAGCGGGATCAGCATACCTGCTATATGATTCCATGGAACGTCCCCCAACAAGGGAGGTCGAAGAACTCGTCAAAAAACTGAAGGACGAAAGGTTGGAATTTCTGCTTGGTTGCGATGCGAACTCACACCAACTGGGGTGGGGAAGCTCAAATACCAATGCTAGAGGAGAAGCCCTAAACGACTTCATTATGGAAAATATCTCCAAATCCTGAACAGAGGGAAAGAACCAACCTTCACGGACTGGAGAAGACATGAAGTGTTGGTCATAACCATCTGCACGACAGGCATGGCACGTTGGGCAAAGGACTGGAGGGTGTCGAAAGATCCTTCGGGCTCAGAGCACAGCCAAATACGCCTATCACTAAAGTGCGAATCGGAGCAGGTCCCTAGGAGAAATACAAAGGACACAAACTGGGGCAATTACAGAGAAGAAACCTTCGTGAGAATCCAAGATGTACCCTCAAGGTTCAGAAATAAGAGAGACCTGGAACATGCAGCCGAACGTCTCGGGGAAGTGATCAGGGACTCTTATGAAAACAACTGCACCATTAAAAGACCGCGGAACACAAAAATGGTGGGCTGATGGAATAACCAACTGTCCATTTTAAGACGCCATCTAAGAAAAGCGTCGAACAAGGTGAGGACCGCGTACACGCAAAACAGCAGGCAGAAGGACCTCGAAGATCGCAGAGATCTTCAGAGGAAATAAAATAAAGCACTCGTAATAGCCAAAAACGAGGGCTGGCAGAAATTTAGCAGTGGGGTGGAGAGCCAATCTGAAGCTTCAAGGCTGGTAAAGATTCTAGGAGGACAGGGCGCTGCTACTCTGGGTTGTCTCATCAAACCGGATGGAAGCTATACCTGGACTACAGAAGAAATTCTCCCACTGCTGCTAGAAGAGCACTTCCCGGATTCACGAACTCGGAGGATGTGAGACAAGCAACGGAAACCTGCAGAGGCACCTACAAGCCGCAGGAATGGGCCTTGGCAGATAAGATAGTCCACCCGCAAGGGGTAGAGTGGGCCGTCAACACCTTTGAACCCCTAAAGGCACCGGGACCCGCTGGGATCTACCCAATCCTCTTGCAGAGGGGGATCGACGTGATTCTGTGACCCTTAACGAAAATACTTAGGGCAAGCATAGCACTAATGACTGTACCAAAAGTTTGGGGGAGATCGAGGATTGCCTTCATCCCCAAACCTGGAAAGAACGGGCATATCAAGCCCAGGGACTTCAGACCCATCAGCCTCACCTTCTTCATTTTGAAGACACTGGAAAGACTGGTGAATCACTACATAAAGAGCTCACTGCTTGTTGAGAAACCCCTATCACCCTCACAGTATGCCTACAGGGCAGGCAGGTCGACGGAAACGGTCGTGCATCACCTAGTGGCCAAGATTGAGGAGTAGATAGAAGGAAAGGGCTGGGCACTCAGCCTATTTCTGGACATCGAGGGCGCCTTTGATCGAACTAAATACGAGGTCATAACAAGGGCCATGTCGAGGAAAAATTTTCCAGCCTCCATCATTGACTGGACGAAAAGCATGTTGGAGAGCGGGAAAATGACTGCCACACATAACGGCTCACACGTAGAAGGGCATCCGACCAAGGGGTGTCCACAGGGTGAGGCTTCTCGCCACTCCTGTGGAGCCTAGTTGTCGATGACCTTCTAGAGAAATTGAGAGAACAGAACTTTCTGGTGAACGGCTATGCTGACGACATAGTCATTGTCGCCAGGGGAAACTTCCCCGAAACTCTAAGAGACAGACAAATCCGTGCTGTGAGAATACTGGAGAAATGGTGTAGGGAAACGAAACTAACAGTTAAGCCTGGAAAGACGCCATGGTCTTCACCAGAAAATATAAAGTGCTCACTCCACGACCAATCTAAATTGGAGGAGTTGACATCGCTTACGCTAGTTCAGTGAAGTACCTGGGAGTAACTCTGGACACCAAGCTTCACTGGAAACAACACATAGCCACACAGATGGGCAAAACATATGCCTCACTCTGGGCTTGCAAAAGAGTCATAAGAAGGACGTGGGGTTTCAACCCGAAAATCAGCCTATGGCTATACAAGATGGTACTACTGTCAAGGTTTATGTACGCTGCTGTGATATGGTGGCCCAGCGTAAGGAAGGTTGGGATTGAGAACCAGTTGAAAGCACTCCAGGGAAATTTTCTCAGGGCTGCAACTGGGGCGATGAAACCCACACCGACCGAAGCCTTGGAAGTGGCAATGAACGCACCACCACTTGATCTAGCGGTACTGTACAAGGCAGAGGCAACCGCCTATAGGCTTATATGCCAGGGGGAATGGAATCAGTCTAGTGCCGCACATGCCAAGCTCGACATACTAAAGAGGAGCCCCCTGAACATAGATCAGGATAGAACAACCAGGAGGTACCTGATCAGGAAGGGCTTCAAGACCTATATACCTGACAGGAAGGACTGGGAAATGGTAAAACAATCCCCAGGTGGCAATGTAATCCACTGGTACACGGATGACTCGGGCCGCGGACACCAATACGGTGCAGGGCTATAAGGGCCAACAGAAAACCACAGAGACAACTGGTCAATTGGACCCCTGGCCACTGTTTTTCAGGCGGAAATCCTTGCAATTAAAAACTGCATAGAGCTTCTCCTATCACAACCGACCTCAAGAAAACATATATATGTCTGGTAGGACAGCAAAGCTGCCATCAAAGCCCTAAAGAGACCAAGCACCGAATCGGGGCTGGTCTGGGAGACGATGGCAGCTATAGAAGCACTAGGGGCAACCAATAGAATAACTTTGGCATGGGTCCCGGGCCACAAAGGGATAAAAGGAAACGAGATAGCGGACCAACTGGCAAGGCATGGGGCGTCAA